TATCATTCTGCAGTCATATGGAGTACCTTTAGTACGCTCAGACGAAGACGACTCACATTATTCAAAAAAACACTTAGCCAAATTTCTAGAAGACAAAAAAATCTTTGCAAGTCTTGTGACTGATTAGATTTATTGTGACTTTGATGTAGACTGTGAAAGTACTAAACATAGAAATCGGAATTTATAATAACGAAAGACGGCAAGGAATTTGATTCGGACTCGGCGCAAAAGTTCACGGGATGCAGTGTTTTGAATTACTGAAATTTAAAGGTGCAGTAAGCATCGGGCATTCAGAGAAGGTATCAAATTGCGACCCAAGTCCATTTTAATGTTCACTTGGATTCTGCGTTAGTTATCTGTCTGCTGTATTCTCTAGTAAATGGAATTTAGAGATTTGGTGAACACTTCCAGTCGCTATACAGTAAAGCTTTGTCAATCATATAGCAAAGCACCTGTATAGGGGCTTACTCCCATCTCTCTGGTCATTTTTTTTTTTTTTGCTTTAAATTGACCAAAAAACATTCAAATACCAATAACTTTGGACTTACTTGTGCAACACTCCAAAGCTTGTTGAGCATTTCCCTTTTCCAGTAACTTCATGGCAAGGACCAGTTTAGCTCCAGCCATGGTCAAATCTATAGTTTTAGCCCTCTGGACACAAGGAGCAATATTCCAGCCATTTCGTGAAAGGGTCTGTTTTTCTTGATCCAATAGCTCTTTATCCCCAGGATATGGGTTTTGATTACACAAACTTAGAGCATCGTAGCTTTGCTCCTCCAACTCAGCAGTCTCGGATCCATCCGCCATTTTTCAGCCCCTGTCTTAAGCTGTCGCGACCCTCTCTTTTTAATGCAATTGTTTGATATAAACAAATGCAGAAAAATACAGGTATAACAAAATAATTAAGTTAGGCGCTCCTACACAAAAATTAACTAAACTGAGAGAAGCCAGATTTCCCACCGCTGAGTACAAGCAAGGGTCTGTCCATGTAAGCTGCCAGTGCACAAATGGAAGCCGTAGGTGTAACTGGTCGGTCGAGATAGACTGGGCCAACAACGTACAGAGCGGATGCCGGCAGGTAGGATTAATGGACAGCGCGCGGATTGGATTTCTTGGGTTTTCTAATAAGGTCAACGTTCGCGAAACCACGGGGAAGGAAGCGTGTGGTGGCATATTCTCAAAGGTTGATTATTGTTACAGTGAAGACGAGGTAAAGCAGGTGCTGTACTTAAAGACTTTTCACTTGGCCTTTCCACTTTCCGCCGCAGGTTGTTAATTCTTCTTTCTTCAATTTGTAGACAGACAAAACAAATTTATTGTTTTTTCTTTGGAGCCGAATTCCTGTTAGGCGCTCACGTATGATCGCTTTAAAGGATACCGTTCACTAATGGATGACGACCAAATAACATGTATCTCTCCCCAGTTGCATTATAGGAGCATATACCAATCCTTAATTTTGTTTTTACAAGTATTTGATTAGCTTTAAAGGCTAGGCAACTTAGGATCCGATGTATACCTTGTCTTCTGTGGTGTTTGGTTTGCTGTTGTAATTAACCACAAAAGCCTGAAATAACACATCGATGTGATACTGCACTGCTATTGCAAAGGGAAGTCATAAAATGGGGAAGAGATCTACTTTGCCTAACACTATTGCGATTTCGTTCGTGTTTATGTTTCGTCGGTACTTATACGGAATGTATATATAGTTTATTTCATGACGAAGCACAGGCGAGACTGCTACGGGGTTGAACGAGGGTCGAACATACAGTGTATTCGTTCTTACAGCCGCTGCGCACCCTGTGTTAACACACCTTGTGGTATCTGTTCTTCATTATTCAGAACACTTTACTGGTATTTGGCAATCGGGTGGTGCAGACAGACGGAAATATACAGAGTACCAACACCAGTGCCAAAAATAAAGATCAAATGACATATTATGTACTCCAGACCTACCGTATTAGAACAATATATGTGGTCTCAGCTGGCATCAACTTAGCAAGGGCAATATTCAGTTAATTCTGTTTATTAAGATTAAGAGACATTAACAGTGCAGAATTGTAAGAGTCTGTTCGAAAGAGCGTGATCGATGCTTGTTGAATCTCTTGTTAACATAGAACTCATGTCTTGGAATAAATTCAGGGTAATGAGGAGGTTCTGAGGAAGTTCTAATATGGATGCTTGTCGGTATTCATGATACCAACGGAAACTTTAGGCTAATAAGCACATCTCCCCCTGAAATGTGTCCATTTCTTCACTAACACATTTGGAAAGGGCACTGGAAGCATTTTGTCCTTCTTGGCAACAGCCATTCAATTAGCCAGTAATTCCATTACTTTGGAAGAAGGAGCGTTTATAATGTTATTTCACATTTTTGAGATAAAGGCCTTTGAAATCGCTGGGCACATTCTTGAATAAATATGGAGGAAAGAGAAAAACGAAACCAGAAATAAGCTCTTTCTAATCTAGGAGACTAGTTAACATATGGTGAATCCAATTTTAATCATGTGTAAAATAAGGTGGCCTGGCACTTGTAACACAACCACTACATACTTTTCCAGGTAGGGTAATAGTAGTCCTGCATCTTCAGTCTACGTTGATAAATTGATCCTTCAGCGGGCCATTTCTTGGGGTACACAACTTCTCCGCCAGAGAGGTACCCCGCCCACCAACTGAAAGTACCCACTGATATTATCACGTGATTCGTTCGTGACAATATCGCCAGATCTACGACTGGACTGTGTTTTTCCGAAAAAACAACATTCTTTGATTTGAAATTACGTTTACACCAATCAATGTCATCGCTGGCAATAAAGAATAATACGTTTTTGTATTTAGATTGAAAATGTGCCATGGCGCTGTTAAAGTACGCCATGTCCGGCAGCGGTCCTGTGAGTGCTACCATGTTCTCAGAAGTCATGTCGCCTCTCCTTACGTGAATTCCTACCGTCGTAATTTTACCACGGGCGTTATTAGAGGAGTGTTTCAGGGATGAATTAATGAATGAATCTGCATCACGAATAATATCATCTTGAAATCGCAATTTACTTTTAACATCACTCTCATAATTTTCAAAGTACCTCCATGCTTGGAGAAAACCATCCAGAAAAATATCAGTTTTAAACTGCTTCAAGTTCCCAAATTGCTGTTGGTGAATTGGCAACTGTTTCTCTTTAACTCTTTTAAACGTTTCCATTTCTGCCTTTTCAATGATCCTGATGTCCTTCTCCAGGTGAAAATAGGACGTTAGATAAGAACGATGCAAACACAGATCCATTGCGTTACTTTTAGCTATTGCGTAGCCTGATGCAAACTGAAAGAGACAGTTTCCTAAGCGACCCCAAAACATCACAGAAACGCACCTCTTAGTGGGATTGTGAGTCAGATTACCTGAAAATATATTATCAGCATTGATACAATAGATGACAGCGAATAAAAATAAATAATCTGTACATTTAAATAATTAATTCCTAGATAAATCACCAGCAGAGTCGTAAGAATTGATTAAAGAGTATCTCCCAAACCACACTAAATATTTCTTAACTGCTCTAACTTGAAAATTCAGAAACGCAAGATGATATAATTCATTATTAAATGGTATTAAAATTGAAAATCTTGAGATTAACGGTCCTTAATCTAAAATTGTGTTACAAATTACATCGAACCTAGATAGAGCTTGGGGCGACCCTGGGTTAAATCAAAGAACAAACAACCAACTGATGAGGTTCTATGTGTCAGGATTACGTAGATATGGGGAAAACAACACACTTAATTTACTTACTTTGCGTTAAGCCTTCTTTTCCAACCGAGGTTGGTCTCGGGTCGCTAATTCCCCGGGCAAGGCGCGATGAATTCCGATGATATTTATAACCATCAGTCCGTGGAAATTCTGCAGTTCGCAGTTGGGAAACGGCAGAATCATAGGTCCTTGATCTTGCTTTGGTTTTAACGACAACAAGTTTTTCCTCAGAGAGATCCAAGTTTGTCTGTACTTCCTTTAGCCACTCTGGAGAATCTTGGAAATTTACAGTATGAAATAAAGCCAAATATGTCACGCCGACTAGGAGAGCCAGGGCAAAATATCTCAGTCGACGGGCCATCAGGGCTGGCGGGTTAAACACATTCTTCACAGCCTGGTAAATAAAATGTTATTTGCATAAGTGATTATCAGTTTATTTTCAGCTACTTTAGATACATACTGGTACATGTATGTAAAAACAAAACAAGCATTCAGGTCAACTCACGACTCCTATCCTCCAATTCAATACCAGCTAACATTAACTGATTTCTGGCATAACAGAGCTAATTTCTAACAATAAATATAACATATCCTTATTATAGCCAGGTGTCCATTTGTCATTGCTCCAGAAAGAATATTTTCGCAAAAGAACAAATTAATATTGATGAATATATAGCCCTATACAGTTTCAAACTGTCACAGCGGGTCTTTCGAATAGTTCAAGTATTATAAACTATGGCTTACCTACCTTTTTTCTTAATAATTTATAAACTATTAACTATTAACGGCAATCTACCAAATCTACATGCGGAAGGAACACGGGAACATACCATCTGTGTCACACTAGCATTTAATGCACCCATGCTAAATATGCCATTAAAGCCGTAGGCCTATGTTGTGACATTTTTGGTCACGTGACTCAGCTTACCAGGACATTATCAAGGCGAAGTTTGTCGTTTCTTAAACAGGTTTTCACGCACGTAAATATATAATTTTTCTTCGTAAGAGATTGCCATCAATTATTTTGAGTATGACTAGTCTCCATGCACCCAATCCGGATTTCCTAAACTACGCCTCAGCACTAAAAAAATAAAATATGCATTCTGTCGTTTCAGCTGTGGCCTCTAAACTATCTGATCTTAATTTGAAGAAGTCGGTGAAAATGGATAAAGCGGAATAAAGGATACCGCAGCTAGTCTAGTCAGTATTGTAGAGGACATGGTACACGAAGCTGAGAGGGAACTGAGAGGAGACGAACCATTTAACAGGTGGTCACGCCCCGTCCCTAAATGAATTTGCCAATGTGTCTCTTCTTTTAATTCTTCGCAAATAACATCATTAAAACATTCTTAAGAGCCGTAAAATTAATAAGCTATAAAAATAATTAAAACAAAAATATTGAAATAAATTATTGCCTAGATTCCGGTGGACAGAATTCAAATATAGCGCCTTTGGTAATTATAAACTATGCAAAAAAATACATTTACTCATTTGATATAAGAGATGTACTTTCACTGAAGGACTGCAGAAGTGTACCTCCGTGATATGCAAGTAACCACAAACTAATCTCTTATACTTTGATAAGGTGATCTCTGGACTTGCGGTCAATAAATTTATGAAAACATTTGAATGATGAGCAGCGTTAAACAATGTGGTGTTAAGGAAGTCTCTTTTACAGAACAATAATTTCGCCCACAACACGGCCCATTACTAAGTGCTTGGTCTCCAAATTTGCATACTTCTATCGAGAGAAAAGAAATGGAGGCGGCATTGAGACTTAGGGTCTATTCCCACAACTTTAGATCGATCTATCACCGCGGGGAGTCTCACCAGACTACCGTCAGATAATCCCCCTTAAGTGTCCGTCCCCGCCCACTACAAGCCGTAAGGGGCAATTAACTTTCGTGTCCGCCTGGCTGACAGCTATTCAGCGCGAACCCCCAGGGAGTTAGGTCGATCCAAAGTAGGTCGATCTAATCTATGGAAATGGGGTGTTAGACTGCATTCCCGTACACACCATCGCCGTCGGTCTACGTAGATCGATCCAACTCTGCGGGGACTCTTGCTGAGTGCAATCAGCTTTTAAGTTCAGTTTAAACTGAATGACACGCCTCCTCCTGGCGTTGAGTAGAATACAGAAAAGCTGGTTATTATACGGGCACGTTGGAGGCGTGCCATTCAGCTAAGCTGATTGCAATCAGAGTTCCCGCAAAACTGATCGATCTACGTAGACCGATGGGAATGGGGTCTTGATTATGTTTCATTATCGCGATTATAAACGATTCGACAAAATAAACTACTATTTTGACCCTGCCGATCATAATACAAGATCTGTATTATTATGTGGTTGTGATAATGAAATTAAGATTTTACTAAAAAAAATAATTAGAGTAAGTTCGTATAAATGGATTGCAGACAATTTCAATGGAAATTAAAATAAATGAACAAACACGAGATTGCGAGTTTTGATGGAAATAAAGTGATTTCACTGAATTACTTAACTATTAGAGTGAATTAATTGCAGTCACAACAAAAATATTTTTGTATATCATGATATGCCTCATTTCTCGTAAGAGGTTGATTTTATGCTGGCTTAGATTATATGCTCAGCAGTTTTGGTCTCCGAATAATTTACCGCCTATCATTATTTCTGCACAATATAAAATAAAATCTTATTCACTTATAGATGTCAACGGGAAAAAATGGATAGAAAACTGATGATCAAATGTTCAATCTGTTATACAAGCCGCTTTCTATTTTCTTTTTGAGATAGAATGTGTCTATTTTCCTTATGAACTATTGTAGACACATATTCAACAGGATTCGTTCAAAGTAGACAGTTCAGGTAGACAGTTGAAGATCAGGGTGAATGAACACAGGAAATCAGTGACTGTAGGCAATACCAGATCTGCCATTTCTGAACATGTAATAGACACCGGCCACAATATCGATTGGAATTCAACTAAGATTCTTGAATCTGAATCATCCGACATCCCGCGAAAAATACGAGAGGCTTTCAACATCAGCCGACACCAGCCACCCATGAATAGGGACGGGGGGTTTGATCTACCTGACATTTATAAGAGGGTCCTGGCCGCTATAGCCTATACCACCTAGCGGTCAGTGAGTGTGAACAACTACTCACGTCAGTCTGATGAAGGCCTTCGACCAGGTTGGCCGTAAGCTAACGGTACGGAAAATTTTAGGCTTGTGTCTGAGAATTTTCATGTTTAGTTACTAATTATTTATCAGAAATGTTAAAAAACCTCTATGATGCTTTAAAATGTCATACATAACCAGGGATTTCGTTTTTTATTTTACTCAGTCTAATAATGACCAGTGTCTGCACATACATTCTATGTGCTCCCTCTTGCCAAACAGTTTCAACAACTAAACTTACCTTATGCCCTAGCAAACGCATTTCAATTTACCATTGAAGCATTTGTAAAGATTTCTCGTTGTGGTCTGCTTTAAGATGTTTTCTATGCTCTTATGTACTGGGTACGTGTTATTTTCCTTGGGCAGCAGAATTATTCAGATATGTAAATAACCGCCAGGAGAGGCAAGGGGAATATAGAGTGAAGTGAATATATCTCAGAAACGATGTCAGACAGGATAACAGCTTGATTCCAGCCAGGGGCGAATTCAAGGAGCAGTTGTTAGGGTATTGATTGTCGCCAAGGTGCCATTTGCTATTGGATAAGGTGATATAGCGAACAAACGAGAAGTCGTAAGCTAACGAAGGCTTTGTAAAATAGGCCAGTTTAATGTCATCACATCATCATTATATATAACGCTAGGGTGTGATGGGAATGATTTTCAAAATGATTTTCTGTCGTTGTATATACGCGCATGTGCTTTATTCTTAAATCGCGTTTTTCTAATCCTACAAGAAACTGTAAAAGTTTAAAAGTCAAGAAACATAATTTTACATTATCTAAAATTTCATATTTCCACTGAACTATGTGCTTCCTTTTTTCCTCTCTCTCTCTAAGTCTTGGCATGTTGTCACTTTTTACATAATCTAAGATTTCAGATTTCCACTGAATTACGTGCTTCTTTTTCCCCTCCCCAGTAAGTATCTGCGTGAGATCACTATCCGTAAACAGGTGGGAAACCGTGAGCATTTAATTAAGCCAGTTGTGTGAAGGCAAGGCGTGCTTAGGTCTTCCATTTGAATTATTCGTCTTATTTATTGTACATAAATGTTAATGGAGGTATTGCGGATCTTGTTTACGTGAAAATGCATTCATATTTTTTAAATCAGTATAATAGGCATTTGTATAAATAACCACGATTTGTTATCGCACCCCTTCCCCTATCCTGACGCGCTCACACGCTCAAAAACGGCGTGGAATGCTAATGCTAATGAAAACACAACAGCACAACCTAATAATAACAGTATCCTAATTTGAACAGAGTTGCCATTCACTTTAAAAACGTGTTATCAGAACCGTACAGTTTAAATCCTTTTAATAAGTCTTTGAATTGAAAAGGTTTGAAGTTGATATTTTTGTACTCAAAATACAGCTGAAAATAAAATCTGACAAATATGAAAACATAATTTGGAATATTTACCCAATGTGAACACCACATCCCTTTCATTCGTTGTTTTTTTATAATCCTACATAATTAGGCGTTTTCACATTAGATGTTTTAATTAGACGTTCTTAGATTAAATGTTTTATTATTCTTAAAAGAATAAAAGAAACGTAAAAATAAGGGGATGATAATTCATCTTAAAATGACATATTTGATATAAGGAGGTTTCGTTCTCATAAATGACAAAATAATCGCACTAGATTCCAATGTTGTGAAAATATATGTAATCTAAATGACACTTCAGGAATTTACGCCAGGATATATTATGGCACAGGATATTTAAATAACAAAACTGGGTGTAAATATGCAACCAAAAGAACGTGCTTCCCTTTCATTCATTTCTATTAATATTTCTTTTGCTTTAAGAAGAATGAGTCTATGATGAAAGTTAATGATGAACAGTGGGCTGACTTTAAAATAGGCGTCTTTTGTAATCAGCGTGGAATAAATAATCAAGAGATTCCAGTACGGTTCATGAAAAAATCTCGTTTTTAGGCCAGTCAAAATTGATAAGTTGCTACTAAATGTTAACAAGCACAAAATTTGTTTTTGTTTATTAAAAGGATAACAAATATTCGTATGAGATTCAGATTTCACAATAAAAACATTATAAACAACTCATAGAAATATAATAAATTCCATTTTACCACCAAAACAACGGTTATCGCTATTATTCTGGAATCTGTAGTTGCCATCAGACCACGTGGACCATCATATATGGCTATACCTCCGTAATAATCTCTTAAGAGATTGTTACAAAAAAAATATGAATAAAATAAAAACTTTTAGAAAAAAAAGACTAACTTTAAATGTCAGAACGGATTCTTTAACCATTGGTAAGTATAGGATAATCGATACCCCAGAAAGATCTTTTTTTTTTCAAAAAACTATCAGCTGTTATCCTTTAACATGAGTTTAACAAGCATTCCTGCTAATAATTGGGGTTGGTAGAGTTTTTTTCTTTAACTGGGAAGAATGTCAAATCCAGTGTGGGGCGATATTTGAGGATAGAAACAACAGCCAACGGTATCAAAATTTCCCGAGTAAAAATTCCGTCTCATCAAACTAGTTATTTTATTCATTGAAAAACAAGTAAAAAATTCCATAAAATTAGAATCGATTGCTCCAGTTAACCAACTTATCACCTTTGTCAGGTCTTACTTGACATTAAGGGCTATTTTTAGCTTTTTCTTTCATTTGCCCATTATCTGCACATTTCAAGCTCATCAAATGTGTCTAGTTAACAACATCAATCGACCTTAATGTTGCGAGATGGGTTTAAATATTGGACAATTACGCAAAACTGAATGTTTTATGTTATTTTATTGCGGAGAATTTTTTATGTACTTACAAATGGGAGCACAATATTATGTGAAGCAGTTGGTGATAGTAGATAATATTTTGGCTTACGGGTGATTTATATTGTCTTTGCGCATGAGAATAAAACAAAATGTTTCTGAAAAACCTAATCCCTCTCCAGTATAGTGAGAGATTTATGGAGAGGACCTATTATTTCGAGCTAATCTCCCTACACATTTCTGACAAATGCAAAGGTAAACATCTCAAACTAAAATAAAAACACTCCACCAAGGCAGTTTATTTCTAATTATTTTAATAAAATTTTTTACTTTAATTAAAATTGTGAAAGGATTGCCACCAAAGTCCAAGAGATTCTACGTCTGAAAATTTCTGACCTATCCAGAAAATTTTATCAAAATCTATAACTTTTTGAGTTAGGCCGTTAAATAACACACCAAGAAAGGCAAAAACATGACCTGCTTGGTGAAAGTAAAACTCCAGTCCTGGGAGATCGCTTTAATCAACAGTTAAATATCAAATAAGCTTCAAAGTCAACAGAAGTTATATTATGTTACATTTCTGATTTTATTGCAAAATATGATGATATCTAAGTAAAAAAGTAATTCATATCTTGATTTCTTTTACATTATACACATTCAATTTATTGTGTGTAAACCAACAACATTAGGGGGGAAAAACGAATAAGGCAGCAAACTATTACAGATGAAACGTGTAGAAGTGGAGAAAGTCCTCATCCCACATCGGTGAAAGGTTGAGAAAAAAGTGCGATCCCAGCTTTGTTCCCTATTCTCATGCTCAGAATGTCTTCCAATCTTGGTATCGCAAAATGAATGTCCATTTGAATAATTGCACTCTGGACATGAAAGCTCCTAGTACTTACAGTACTCTGATCATGAAAATTCAGTCAAAGAAAGCTGAGGCAATCTAGAGTCACATCAATACATGATATTGACACCTTGTCTTACTCGTATCCACATATTCCCTTTCTTCATTCATCATAATAAAACAACTTAAAATGCAAGTTCTGCCATTGAAAAAAAAAAAAAAAAAACTACACAGAGGAATTTAAGGAGAATAATTTTTCTATATTCCTTATAAAATCTAGTCCCAAGATATAAATTCAGAGCAAAGTGCCCCTCTTTTTATCACTCCCACAAAACCAGTTCAGTGCTACAGAATATCTGGTGCCCATACTTTAAATGTCCTGTCATAGGATGCAGTGGCTATGTACTCCATGTTAGGAGATATATCTATACACATCACTTTACTTTCATGTGCTGCCAGAGTCTTCAGAGGCGACCAGGACGGATGAGACCACACCTGGAGAACATCAGAATATTACAATACTAAAATCTCACGGATAAAAGAGATGAGATAAATAGAAAGAAAAATATATTTAATTTGCTCTGCAAAGCTATATTTCTTTTACTTCATTAAGAAAATGAATTCAAATTCGCTAAAACAAGGCAGAGACTCCCTCAAAGACTTTGTAAATGTATATCTTTATATTAGCACACAAGATATATTATCCAACTTACACACACATTATTATTCTAGTTTAACAACCACAGAATATAATACAATCAGTTTACATTTCATCAACATACAGTTTAACAACCACAGAATATAATACAATCAGTTTACATTTCATCAACATACCTTTGCTGTATTGTCGTATGAGGCAGTGACCAAATATCTTCCATTGCCAGCTGTAAGGAAAATATAATTATACTTAATATGTACAGTGAGCAAACTGGTCTCAAATCACAATAACGGACCAAGAATAACTGTATCAATAATGCACACCATGCAATGTCCAGAACAAAAACTTACGTTGGAATTTGACCTTGGAGACGAGGTTTGTGTGTGAGGGGATGGTGTAGACGAGACACCTCTGTCTGATGTCCCAAATTTTACAGGTGTTGTCTTCACTTCCCGTGGCAATATGGTAGCTTGAACACAAAAGCAACAAACCATTATGCGATAAAATGACTTAACTTAGCTAAAATATTCTTCTCCAAATGCTTAAGTATTGCGATTATGTTGAGAAAAACAAAACTTTTAACCCATGACTTTTAACCATTTGACCTGATAAACAAATTAAAGCTAAATCAGGCTGAAGTTTGAACAAACTGGTGTTAAAAGAAGTCTTGTAAAGGTATCAATAATACTGCAATCTAATCTCACCCATTAGGATTGATGTCAATTCCTAGAACCGACTTGAGATGTCCTTCCATAAACATGATACAGCGCCCAGTCCTTAGGTCCCACACACGACCAAAGCCATCCAAACCACTGGAAATTACACAAAAACATAATGTCATTGAATGGACTGGCTGTTAAAGACACATGATCTGGGCATGTAAAGTTTTTTTTCCTCGTAAGAGTTTTCAAGACTGAAATGAAAATTAATGTACCACTAGTAGGTACATTCTTTTGTAAATCAAAACTAAGAAAATAACTTGGTGCCCAAATTAGGCAGAGATGGAAGACTTTGTAAATGTATATATTTATTGATCCAGAAATGATACAATTTCACACTTCCTATCCTATGACTCATTATAGTCTTAACAACAGGGAATTAATATCAAAACTGTACTGTTAAAAGGGAATTCCACACTATCTATATATTTATATATCCATACATTACCCCGTTGCTGCTAAGGATCCATCTCCCTGGAATGCTATGTCATACACTGGTTTACTATGACCTTCTTGGTGTAAAATCTCCTCCTGTGCCTCAAGATCCCAGAGCCTCCAGGAATTATCAAAACTGAAATAGAAGTGTTCTTTTTTCACATTGTAACAAGATTGTGAGAGACTGTTTTTCAGAATTTGTTCTAGGTTTGTAAAGAATAAGTTGTATCTTTGCAAATTCTGCCATTCAATTCTCAATCACGATTTAGTTCTTAGTATACTAGGATAGCACCATTTATGATGTCACTGTAAAAAACATTTTATCTAAAACCAATCTATGCTGGGCAGTGTTATTTTTTATCACCACCATGGTTACACAACGCATATCAATAACATCACTATTCCATGGGGTGAAAGTTGTAAAAACTGAAAATCCTGAAAGCATAGCTTACAATTTCTCATCACTCAGTGAAAAAACCAAAACCAAAATAAAGACTGAAAGTCCTGAAATCATGCACAATCCTGAAAACATTCCTCCATGAAAATAATATGACAAAATCTTACCAGCATGTGGCAAGGAACCTCCCTGACGGATGGTACGCCAGTCTGCTCACGCGGTATGGTGCATGTCCTTCTATGTCTGCCACAGGCTCCTCACTGATAGGGAAAAACACAGCATTACTGGTTAAGAATCAATAAGTGTAAGACAACAGCATTAGTAAGCATCATTTAAAGCAAAGTTAGATACTACCATAAATATGTTAGGCACTTAAAATTATATATAAAAGATTACATTAATGTGTCCTGAGAATGAATACAATTAAACTAGCATAGCACTAGGACATATCCCTGTAAGCAACAGACCAGTAAATTATTAGATAATTATTGTAATATAACTTAAATAAAAAGATACCAATTTCCCCATCACACCTCTCTTTTAATGAAAGGCTTGATTTTTTTAATAACGACTTAGCTTTTAATCAAAATCTTACCTTTCTAAATTCCAGAGCTTGACTGTCCCATCCTGTGCACAGGAGGCCATGCAGCACGCCCTGTTGTCAAGGTTAACTGTGGCCTCTGGGTGGAATACTATTGCTCCAACATTACAGTTGTGACCTGAAGAGTGCAGTGAAATATAAATATGGTACAATATTCAGGCAATGCCTTACTGGGATAAAAAAATTAACTTGAATATGATTCTTAGCTTTAAATCAATAGCAGTATTACTTATTACTTTATAAAACACAGGGTTTGCTATTACTAGTATATCTACAATTAAAACATTTTTCTTACTTCTGAATGTTCTTGTTAAACAGATAGAACCATTTCTCTTCAGCTATTAAGTAGCACAGGCATACCTACCTCGGAGTGTTCTGATAGCACTACAGTCAGGAATAGACCACAACTTGCAGAGTCCACTCCTGTAAATTCAGAAATCAATTTATAGCTTAAGGTATAGTTTGACTACGAAAGTTATATTTATTTATCATTTCAATAAAAAAAAATTAAGCCAAGTGTGTGTGCGTGCATGCGTGTGTGCGTGTGTGTGTGTGTGTGAGAGAGAGAGAGAGAGACTCACCATGATGCAGTAACCAACATCTTCGAGTTTGGGCTGAACTGACAAAATGAGATTGGTCTGTTATCTCCTATCTGACTGTACTCGTTAGTTAAAGACTGGAAGAAAGACAAACATTTGTCATAAATATAATGAAACATAAAATCTATATATCATGTTTATCAGATCTATTAAAATGTTGTAAAAATATTATCCACCTGAAATCCAATAATAAGCATAAAATACTGATATGCTTACTCTTAGCTTCTTGTGTAATTCTTGTGTTCTGGCTTGCCTCTTGGCTTCTGGAGTATTTTTCTCTTCTCTGGCCTTACGCAGTCGCTCTCGTGCTCTGAAAGATGACACAAAACATACTCAATATGAATTTTAATCACTACATCATGTACACTAAAACAAAGAGAGAGCTTTTCAAAATTCATCTTTAAGAAACATTTATCTTATAGGGGAGACATGCTAAATATTAACAAGCAAGAATCATCAGAAAGTTTAGACAGGATAATTCCCATGCCAATAAGTCAAAAAAAAAAAAAAATTTTAAGCATAACAATGAAGATGCTGTGGTAAATTTTAGGTCCAGGAATAGTAATCATTCAGTCAAATCAAAACAGAAACAAAATCAAATTTAGATACTACCATAAAAAACACATGTAAGGCTAGATACATAATAATATAATTTATTTGATCCAAGTTTCAAATATTTTACCTTGGCAAGGAATATTTAGCTATCCACATTCTGGCATCCTGTAGTGTTTCTGTCCCCTCGTGATACCATGTCACATCATCAGGTTTGTCCTGTGCCTTTTCAGCCTCAACTTCCTTCTTGATGGCATCTGTCCCAATGTCTGCCAGCAGGGCTCTCAGTCTTTCCCTTCTATCAGCAGGTCCCTCCCCAAATAAACCTTTGTAACAAGGGAATTGTGTATTGAAAATAATTTCACAAAATAATCATATTTAAAACTAAAGAGTGGCATTAATGTCTGAGGTCACATCTAATATTTGTCCACTAAATAAATAATAAATTGGCATTAAAGGTTTACTTATGTTCAGGATATTTTTAGTGGTCTATGGAATTATGTTACCCATTTCTTTCTATTTATATACATTATTAATTAATTTAAGTACATTATTTTATTTCATTGGTCTATCATAATATTGGGCAGAAGTGGACTCAAATGTTTGTTTAAAAGTTAAGATTTTTCAGTCTTAATTTTCTTTTTTTTTCACTCTGTCATTCTGTTTTGTTTAACAGACCCCTTGCCCAGTCATCAAGGGACCTACTTACATATTGGCTCTCCCAGTTGCCGTAGGTTAGCCTTGACTTCTAAATCATCTGTGGATACTTGGATTTGTCGAGCCTGCAGTATGAGAGAATTTTTAGAAATATAGTTAAATACTTTAAATGCAATATGAATTGGACTCCTCTGACCAATTACAGGTTATGAAAAGCAAATTTGCATCTATTTTCAAGGGGCAAAAAGTAGATTTTGTTGAAAGAGAACTTGTCATAAATTATTTTAAAGTAACTCAGATTCTCACACAGCATTGTATTTAATTTCTTTCTTTTTGTGTTTTATTTCTTGTTCTTGCAACAATTATCTTCTTCAACTTTAACATCTTGCATCATATTTATCATACACATACCCTTTTACGTTTTTCAAAAAAGGCAAGTACAGCTGCATTAGAATCTGGGCCATCAGCTTCTTCTATTTCCATTGTTTCTGAAACAAATGTGCTTACTTGTAACCTCATCATCCTAACCATAAGATTTTTGGGGTCTTTATAACAACCAGAATATATTATAAGTGCCACAATTCTTCATGACTGGTGTATTATTACTACCAGAAGATGTGAAAAGGCTTATTTGTTAGAAAGTAAAAATAAAAGTCCAGTGCATGGCATAACAATCAAACAAACAATAAATACTCCATTTATATTATAATAATATTTTTTTCAATGACTAGATTGCCTTACATGAAGTCATCTGATTTTCACTTTTCAAAAATGGTTTGGAAAAAAAAATGTACAAGGTGAATTGTACTATCCAAACCTTCTGATATATTAATATTGCCAGCTGCAATGGCCGACTGGATAGCCTCCCCACTGCTTCCTGACAGCAGCCGAAGCTTTTCTTGCTGCTCCAGACTTCCATAGTTTATTGTCTTCTTTGGCCGCACATAAGTAACATTATCCTCTTCATCAGACATGTTTCTCACTCAGTTGGTTGCAACTTGAAGGCTGGAAATGAAAATGTAAACTAAGGGCGTATTCCCAAACATTTAGATCGATCTATCCCCGTGGGGAGTCTCACTAGATTACTGTCACTAAAAAGGCTTGAACTGACCGTATTATTCAGAAAATGTGCCCAACTAGTGATTTCTCTAATCAAAATACACAGATTTTGTAAATATTGAGCTTTTAAAAGATGCCATATGCTAGGTTTGGAAGTTAATAGGTTGGAGCCAGTATGTTTAACAAGCAAACTGAGCTGTCATTATAAGGTTGCTTGATATGAAAAAAGGGTACATATATATGCATCAGGAACCTCCTGATCATCTCCGTATTTTATCACTTTTTTAATGCTTATAACTTATACTTATTGGGAAGATTATAAACAGATCCTACCTATCATTACATTGTCATTATATCTGATATTCATTTCTACTGTTTTTTTTTTTAGGTTGCTGTAACATCAGAGCAGCTGCTGCTCAGAACATATGAAATTTCACTTCCAATGAGATCACATCCAACCCTGGCAGAGGGAGATCCAGTGTCATTCAAAATATTGAGGTTGTTTCATCCAATATTGCTCCATACCCCATAAACCTTTGAAGGTGGGCACTGATGGGAACTGTCTGTATAGGGCACTATCCCTTGGATTATATGGTACAGAGAACAATCATCTGCACCTCAGGCTCCTGACAGCCATGGAGATATATTACAAGCCCGTAGCCAGGGGGGGTTCGGGGGGTTAGAAAGAACCGCCCCTTTTGCTGGAAAAAGGTCCACTCTGGGTAAAATTTGATCTAGGTACAAGAAGTTTTTATGGGAAAAGGTCCACTTTTTCAGAAAAAGAACCCCCCTTTTGAATACATCGCTGGCTACGTGCCTGGATAATCACCCACCGAGATAACTACGACATACAGCCCCATCGCTACAAAGGGCATCTATGTGCCACTGTTGCAGTTAGCTTCAACAATGAGGTGTATGCAGCATGCAGGCCAATGGTCTGGGATGATCACACATGTATGCTGCAAATGCAGCACTGAAGGTGGCCCTCAGGTAATACTTTCAATTATTAGTATTTTACAGATAAAAGAAACTTTGCAGTGGATTTTAATGCATTACATCTATAGATTCTGATGTGGAAACAATGGTCTTTTCCACAATTTAATTTTCATGTACAAATGGTAACCTACAGTTATCTTTTGATCATCCTTTCAGTAGTCATACGTCATAAGAAATTTTGTTTTTCATGTTGAATTTCGCATTCAGATTTAATTGAAGATCCAAATTGATTTTAATTTATCACTGAACACCATTATTCCATTTTCTTTTATCAGGTCCTACTGTCCACCAGTTCTGAATGAGAACTTTGTGACAGCACCTTTGTCCAGGGAAATCACAGGTAGAGGAGTTTCCCAGTCTGCTATTGCAGAAGTGGTCATCATGTGGACAAGTGTAGGCGTGCCCAAAACTGTCAATCAGTTCCGTCCAGACCACTTTAGCACATCCATAGAATTAATCCAACAGCCAGCAGTTATTGTAGACCTCATCAGTAGTCTCAATGAGCATGAACTGCAGTACACCAACTTGGATGACAGTGACCAAGGCAAACTGCAAACCCACCAACTTCTGCACCCCAAAATCTCGAGTAGGCAAGCAACACCTTTGTCAGTGACCCCACCACTGACCAAGGGCCTGCAAGCCCACAAACTTCTGCATCCCAAAATTTCCAGTCAGCATGCAACACCTTTGACAGTGAGCCCACCAGTAGCCTCATGCCTGCGAACTCACCCATGGACCACGAAAATTCCAATGAAACTATGGAGGTTGATCAGTCATGGGAGGATGAGGGGACAGCAATAGTGAGATACCTTTACACAAGGGGAAGGTTTTACTGGTGGATGAAGTCATTTCATTACTGACGTCAGATTCATCACCAACAGTCACCGAAATACCCCCAGGCAAGAAAGAAAATATAATGTTTATCATGCATCCAGGCAGGACAAAAACAAGACCTTTCTGATGATTGTGGAGCGTGGAACCCAAGTCCCTCGCCATTGACAAGAATGGCGTTTAGAGATGGCAAATGGAGCCAGGTAGTGCTGAAGAATGACCAATATTACATTGAAAAACAAGTGAAAAACAAGAGAAAATTGCAACTTTTGGACGAACAACCAAATCAAGTAATAACATTACAAAGGAACTACCCGACACTCAAAAAGGACTCTAACTACAAAAGAAGAATATAAGTATACTCCAAAACAGACCTGATAAATTAATTGTGGAGTATATCGTACAGTATCCAGGACCTGCCCCTTACGGTAACTCGAGCCATCCAAATGCTCAACATTATGTTAAAAGAAACACTACCATATTAGAAGAAATAGCCTCAAAAGCTAAGACCTCCAAGCCTAAAGAAATACATGAGGGCATGATCAGGGAAAATGAAGAGCTGAGGAGGCCAGCGAACTTGAAACAAGTACAGAATAAGGTGCACAAAGTGAGAAAGGAGAATTTGGGGCCTACTGACAGCAGCGGGGGACAAAATCTGGCGGACAACTTAATCCACCTCGATGGACAAATACACCATCATCCCTTCCTGAAGAAAATAATTCACAAGAAAAATAAATGTCCCTCATTTATCCTGTATACAGAAAAACAGATTGCCTATCTCAAGAGGTTTTGTTGTGCAGGGCCAGCAACATATGGTACAGTGCTTGGAATCGATTTAGGACAATTACATGTTACGGCTATGGTGTACAAAAACCTGGCCCTGGTTAGGCATTCAGCAGACAACCACCTCTCTTCCTAGGGCCAGTCATGGTCAATGGTACATCAGATTGGAAAACGTATGCCTCGTTTATGGACACGTTGGCTAGGGAGTTGGATGGATCAGCCAGCTCCCCCATCATTGGATATGACCATGAAAATGTGATCAGAAAGGCTGCCAAATTTTCTTTTGAAGAGGCAAAGTCGTTATCATGTGAAAGACACTTGAAGCAAAATTGTACTATGCACCTCCGGGACAAAGTTGGGGTCGAGAGCTCGACAAGACAACAAATTACTACAACTATTTATGGACCCTCTGGATTGACTTCAGCACCGTCATTACCAGTCCTAAGAGGCACGTCAGGAAATGACCCAAAAGGTAAGGACTGCCATGAAACAAAGAGCCCAGACAACAGAGGAAACAGCTCAAGTTGTAATTACGCAAGCTATAGAGCAGGCATCCGAAGGGGCTGCTGCTAAGTTGCCGACAGTTCACAATATTTGCAGAGCACTGCGTAGAAACAGGCATGATGCTGGCAATCCACTGCCAATTCCTCCCTCACGTGAGGAAATAAGACTGGCAGAAAACTACAGGACAACATCAAATGGAGAGCAATTTCTGCTTTATGACAGTAGGGAACAGAGAACAACTTAAGAACTCTAGCTGCATCTGCAAACTGGTTTTGTGATAGAACTTTTAAGACCACCCCAGAGCAGTTCTATATGCAAGAGGAAATGGACGATTCTCTGCTGCCTATCATTGAGTATTTTGAGGATAACTTTATTGGCAGACGATGTGACCCTAGATATGAACACAACATGTGGAACGTCACAACGAGGATTGAGGAAGGCTTGCCAAGAACGAATAATGCCATCGAGGGTTGGCATTGTGGCTACAGTCCAACGTGGGAGCCTACCACCCAAATTTTTGGAAATTTTTAGACATACTTAAAAGAGAACTGGAGGTGGAGAGCTGTATTTTAAGTTGTATTTAAAGTTATGTGTAAGGGTTGGGTGTCAAGCTTGCTTTGGTAGGACGGGGATGAATAGCTTTGATGTTTGTGTGCACATATTGATGACTACAGAAAGAGAACAATTAGTATAAAATGATGTTATTTTGTTTAAGGCTTATATGAAAACTGTCCCTGTTGTCTTTTTGGTTGGCAAAAAAGATGTGTAGTATCCAGAAAAACCTTTAGAAATGTTTTATCTCCATGAATGATAGAACTAGGACCCCATTAAAATACTGCTGTTATGCCAACTAACGGGAAACAATTACAGTAGTCGTATAAGAATGCAACCCACGAAATCCCCACTTTGCTTCATTTTCCGTCTTACAAGTTACGTGCTACGCTGTACCTGCAGTAAGCACCTAGCCTGTAAAACTAACAGTGTAACTGTAACTTGTGAGGCCAAAAACTGAGGCCAGACCCCTCTAAATATGAGTCCCCGCAATATTACTTTTGAAGATCTAGGAGATACACTGGGTATGTTTCTTCGATACATCGCACTCTGAATGTATTTGTTCGTGTACTTACCCTACTTTCTTAAAACAAGCAGACTAAATTCATTGATAAACGAAACGCACAGTTAACGTTTACAAACTCATGGGCGCAGCCATGTTTTAACTACCCACAATACCGTGCACCAACCGGTGTGATGATCACAGATGCAATCTGTGACGGGGCGCAACTAACACAATTGATGTAAATATCCGGAAATGTTACATTGGGAATGCTAAAACGTGTTTAGGTCACCTCGAATAAACATGGTGCCATTATCTAAGGTGCCGTCGCTTCTTCTGTGTATTTGCACATTGTTTTTACCGGTAGCACATACTTCAGAAGATGTGCCGTTTGTTGAGAAATATTTTGACCAATATCTCGATCATTTTAATTTTGCAAGCTTTGGCAGAAAGATGTACAAGCAGCGTTACTTGATACAAGGTAAGTGCACCACCAGGAAATCAGCATGTGTTGTTTATGACTATCATCAGAGAGCTACAGCTACCAGTAGTATTCTGCATATGTCTATAGTTTTAATTGAGCACTAGTCACACTTGTCATACAAGACAAAGCGGGTTAGACCTTTATATAGCAATAAATAAATAAGAAAATAAATTAAAAATAAATAACAACAACAACAATAATAATAATAATTGATAAATAGATGGCATATAAGTAAATAAAAAAATAAAAATTCTAAAAACTACATCAATTTTCCCATAATCGCTTTACTATATACTGAGTAGTGCAGACAATTAAACTACTAGTACTGTACATGTATATACTATATATAGTAGTAAGACAAATTACTAGTTTGCACACTAGTTCTTCAAATGCCAAAAGAGAAAAATCTGTATATTACCAGTAAAGGTGTACCCAGTCCCAAACCACTGAGAGAACATTACAGTCTGAAAACCCATTTCCAAATTCTTCATCTGATTTTCCCCCTTCATGTAAATTCACCAAACGATGCTCTACTGTAACCCCAATATTTTAATACAGGACTGATTGACAAAAGCTTTTATAAGTCTAGAAAAACATGGATAATTTTGGATCCATATCATGGATAATTGTTGGCTTGCAAAGGGAAAGGATCCAGTTGATATTTCCACAGAAAATAATTTCTGTTCTCGAGTTCGCTCTGTATCTTAAAAGTGTATGTGTAAAGCTTGGATGTCAATATTTATTGTACACAGTAGAGATAACAAAATGATACCAGGATTGCAGTGTGTGTGTGTGTGTGTGTGTGTGTGTGTGTGTGTGTGTGTGTGTGTGTGTGTGTGTGTGTGTGTGTGTGTGTGAGAGAGAGAGAGAGAGAGAGAGAGAAGTGTGTATGTGTGTGTGTAATACCAATCCTAGTTTATGTGATATCATATGTTATGTGTCAATGAGGTGGCATCAATTCAACCTTAGTTTAAACATAGAAGTAGAGAAAACTTCTATGGTTTAAAAGGTTACTAGTAATACTGTAACTGCAACTTTTTATCAGACGGTATATACATTTATGGAGGCAAGTTAAGGTTAATACTGTACAGCTATAACCGCAATTTGTTATCAGACAATGTATACATTTATATGGAGGCGAGTTAATGTTAATATGCTGTACTGTAACTACAACTTGTTATCAGACAATGTATACAGTATGGAGGCATGTCACTGTGTTGATAGTGAATGTTAGTCAGAGTCCATAGGATTAATAACAATTGTTGTTCATGCATTGTGTCAAATTAGAGGTATGACTGTCCATTTTTGAAAATGACCCAGGGTCATATTGCTGTGTCTATACATATCCAACAGACAGTATATTATTAAAATATAAAGGTACCTGAGGTTGTATTTCCTTAGCTGTAAAAGAAGAGTTGGTGGTCTAAATAACTAACCAGTCTCTGAATTCTATAATTTCTATTAGAAATGATATGCCATACAAAATGATTTTGATGTAATTTAAACATTGACACTAAAGTGTTACTGAGTACACAGTTAATAATATTGCAGAAATATTAAATGGCCATAAAAAGAATATTTTGATCCACAGATCAAATATGGCCAACCCACTTGAAAACTTACCATGTATTCCCCACGGGGAATGTATTCAATGTCTGTTAGGAGATCATGCAGCTAGCTTTCAAGAGGGATGGCCAATTTTGATCAGCAGATCTGTTAGGGTACATACCCAGAGATTTAGATCAATCCAGAGATTTAGATTTAGATCAACCTAACTTCCTGGGGGTTCATGCTAAATTGCAGTCAGCCGAGCGCACACCATAGTTAATTACCCCCTTACAGCTTTTAGTAGGCGGAACAGACGCTTAAGCCAGCTAAGCTGACAGTAATCAAGTGAGACTCCCCACAGGGATAGATCGATCTAAAATCTATGGGAATGGGGTCTTAGTCCATGGAACAACTTGTCCTGAAGGAGCTCTTTCTGAACTCAAGTTATAATCTGTTTTTTTAGATCAGTGGTGGCAGAAAGGCCAGGGCCCAATATTTTTCTACACTGGCAATGAGGGGCCAATTACAGCATTTTGGAAAACTGCAGGATTTCTGTGTGATATTGCCCCACAGTTTAAGGCCTTGGTGATATTTGCAGAACATGTAAGTATTGAGCGATTTAAAATTTAAGATCTTTGTTTTTTCATTTGTTTCTTTTTTCTGTATTTTTCAATATATTCATTCCACAGGAATTCATTCATTAATTCATTCATCATTATTCTTTCATATTCTTTCTTTAATGTTGTGTAATGTTTATTTTTTCTCTTGCTTGTTGTAACTTTGTATATGCACTGATTAAGAAAATTAACATATCATCATTTCCATAACTTTTTAGTATATATTAATTGAGTAATTCCTAGAGGTATGGAGTATAGTTAATATATTTGAATGAACACGATTGATTCATTATTACTGGAGATGATATGTAACCAATATGCATGAAGTTTAGATACAGAACTGTATTGCACTACCAGAGATGAAAATTATTAGTATTCCCATTTAATCCCTAATTTCAGCTGCTCCATTCCACTTGCCAGTACACTAATTATGAAATTTGTGTTCTGACTATAATTGTTGACAGGAGATTGGTGCCTTTAGGTAGTTATATTAGCCATGCCCCCAGTTTTAAACATATTGTTATAATTTACATGAACAGCACTAACGTACATATAGTGTGCCTTTTTGATTGTTATTATTGCACTTTTGTGACAAAAGTCCACAGGATCATGTTTTCAGAATGTTCATTTATGATATCTTAACTGCAACACGTACATAGTAGCATGCATGTGGGCAGATATATGAATGTATCTGAATTAACACACGTATGCATGCGTGCGCGTGCACACACACACACACACACACATACACACACACACACAATAACTGACAAGTGTTCTGTTTCGTACAAGACAATATGAGCAATTCAAGTTTTGTACTGATGATGTCTAAGAATTATGAATTTCCATCAAAACACAAGCGGTGAATTCTTCTGTTTGAAATCATCATCAACACCACCAACCCAGCTAGTTTCTTTTCTTTGATGACTGATTTTGCGCTGCTGATTTGAAGAAGTTTTCAGAATGGTCCCAAATATTGCAGGTGTTTTCAAGTATGCACCAATCATATATATTTTTAAAATGAATTAGATGAATTTTAAATAATGACACACACACACACACACATACACACACACACACACACACTCACGCACGAGCGTGCATGCCCATGAACACACACCATCTTTTCAAAAATTTGAAGGGAAATAAAAATGATTAAAAATGGTCAAAAACAAATCTCTTTATCAGTGCAGGCAACCACCTTGTGAAGATACTGATTGTATTTTAAGTCTCATCTAACACAATCTCAGCAGTACCTAACACTTCAGTGACTCATTGTGTTTGTCACACCTACCACATTCATAAAACCCTTTGCATTGCCTTTATGATGTAAATATTTGTTGAATTGTAAATACAAGCAGATAGAAGCAATATTTATTTGGACTGAAGGAAGAATAAAACAGGAAATAGATCGTCTTTCTTCGCACCTTTCGCAAATAATCTCAATTGATCATCACGGCTCAAAACTAGTTTTTTGGCCATGTATCACGATGCAAGAAATATATACTACTGCTGGCCAATGGAATTGAGCGAGCATATTTATATTGACTGCTTTGGATTTAATCTGCTGCAGAGACTGCTTTAGGACTTTATAAGATATAGGAGATCTTCATTCCAATGGAGCTTCCTGCATAACATGCAGAATTCCAGGAATTGGTGGGAAAATGGCTATTACCTCTTTGTAGACTAAACACCCTTGGAATTTGAGGTGAGTAGAAAAGCTTTTCAAGAGGAATTCAAATGATATTTGCATTTTTTGTCTTTTGTGTAAGCAGGGTATTGTAAAATTTTCTTGGACCTAATCTGGCATACCAAAGTTAATTAACGTGTATAATTGATATGTTGAAGTATTTATTTTTATTTATTTTTCACTTTCTATGTGCTCTAGACCCATAAGGTGAAATGATTACAGATAAAAATGTTTCACAAAAATATCTTTTATCAATCCCAATCATAATCATAATTGAGAAGATTAAGGATAAAGAACTGAATAAGTAAGTAAGATTTTAGTGAAAGAAATTGCAATATTTTCTAGCATCCTCACCAGTTTTAATACAAACTGACCCACATTTTGCTGCCATACTAAAAAAGTCCTTAGAAGGTGTGTTTCTAAGAAGAGTATTTCCTTATTTCAGTGGCTGAATGAACTGTTATTTACATATCAATATATCTTTTTTTCTTAAGGGATGTAGAAAATCGTTGGAAGCATACACGTGCCATCCTTAGAAACATTTTAGTACATTCAAAGTAAATTCCTTGTAACAACCCTTTAACTGGCATACCTTGAATTGTCAGAAAAGCAAAATTCTTTTTTTTTTCTTTTCAGTAACCTTGCTATGATTAAAATTAATAGAATGTTAGGATACACCTGTTAGCAATGATGGAGAGATCATTTTTTTATCGCTAATTGATGATGGCAAGGTTCCTCTTATGAATAAGCAAAGATATATGTTTTGCCATATTGCCAACAAAAGCAAGCTTGATAACATGTTATTTAATCTATTTTCTGGCACAGTGTTAAGCAACATTTAGCGAAGCAACAGAGGAAGAGATGAAAAGTCAAGTTTGCTGCACACTGTTTTGTTTGTAGACATATATACTTTGCTTCACCAAAAACCAATTATTTACTGGCCTAATTTTTTTAGTGTAAACATTCACCTGACATATGTACTGTAGATTGCATTACATCCTACTGCAGACAGTTGGCAGAGGAAAATTGTCTGACAAAATTGTCTGACATGCATCCTCGACCAGCAACTATTGTGCGTGCTTGGCTCTCTGAAGCTTTCACTGAAGGAGGTGTGTCAGATAATTAAGCTGATTACACTGACTGCGCTTTAGCCAGAATTTCCCACAGAGTTAGATCGATCCAGCTAGTATCAAGGGTTTATCTGAATGTAGTCAATGACATTTATTATGGTGGGTCAAGTAAGCAGGTTAAAAAATCACTTTTTTGAAAAGTGGCCCTTCCTGGCTGCATGCCTACATTAGTTTTACATAAAGAGGTCAGATGTTTTATTTATTTATTTATTTATTTATTTATTTATTGTGGGCCATACTCACAATGAGCTTATGTTGATCCCTTGGTTTTGATGTACATTGTAAACCTAATATGATAGGAGGTAATCAACATAATGTTTATGCTCACCTCAGAAACAGTAAGATTTAGGATCTCACTTTAGGGGTTAGGGTGGATGAAGGAAACTACTCAGGTGCATATAGGCAGAAAAGAAGTAAGAAAGCTGTAAGGAAACACAAGGCTTCCATGACTCTTGTAGATCGCTGATTGCTTGATTTTATTCAAGACTGATAAGAACAGACCTGTCTAAATGGTGACTCATCCTGTATAACTCTGTATAAAGCGTGGGTGTGAAATGATACAGGTAGATAGGTTCTGATATATCGCGCCTGGTTTGTACTGGAGTCTCAATGATTTGCAGTCACTCTGGGATTCAGAATACTTCTAGGAGGCAATCATAGAATGGAACCTCTCCATCATAATGAAGATTGCTCTTGCCACATATATTCATTTTGTTGATGCTCTTTTGAACCAAAGGTGTTTTGGATTAATATGTTTATTTGTTTTGAGAGTTTGGTTCATTAGGTCAGGGTTCTTTTGACACTTAAATTATTATCTGCCAAAGGTTTTTCTGTTGTCCAGTCGGGTGTAACAAGCTTGGTTATTTGGTATATATATTATATATTTTTCAGGGTCTGAAGATTGTTTGAGAAACACATCTACCTGGGGAAGGAATTTAATCAGGACATATGGAACATTGGCCAGCAATTTTATAGGTAGGTATGTTGTCTCACTTTGAAATGCTGTGGTTACAGGTTAGAAAAACATGTAAGTACATATTTGCGCTAGTAGTATCTGAAGCTCTTGTGATCATGAATCAAGAACCACTCTCTTGAACCATGCGTTAACATACTAGAGTGATCACTTTCTGGAAAATTACTCTCAAAATTGATCTTTAGCCTTGATTTTAGTAAATGTTCTTGATTTCCCACCTGACAAATATAATGGCAACACATTTCATTAGGCTCTTGCATAACTTACTAGTAAGAATGCTGGCATTTGTTATGTTGCCTGTTGCATGGCGCAAGTTTCATATGATCCATATATTTCTGTTTATGTCGTCATATATATTAGATATGTCAGTGATTCAAAACCCTGCATGCAAACCAATTTTTAGAAGTTTTTAAATTTCAAACAGTCAAATAGAATTTCATAGTCCTTGCCATCCGGTGGAAAAGAAACAAACTGTCTAGTCTTACACATTATTTCCTAACTTACCCTAATTTTTTTTATTAAACTGAAGTTTATTCGTACCCAGATTAGTTGCAAAATTACATATATTTCATAACACGGAATGTTTCTATATGTACCTATATATCTGTGAAGGAGCATATTCTGTTACAATACTAGTACATTTTTCATGGCTTCCCCTATCCATTATTGAAGCACTGACACCATGTATAGAATTCTGTGTTAGTCTACTTTTTAGAAAAAATCTTTCCGGGGTTTTTAATGTGGTGGTTTTATATTCCCAACATGTTATATGTATATATCATGCTTTCATCTTACAATAATTTAGTTCACTTTAGTGTATATAGATTACCAGGCTCCTGCACTTGGGAATTTCTTGTTAATGATTTGTGTTATAGGCATCCACGGCCAGTAAGTGCAGGGCAGAGATTGAATTTGAGGATTGATCTATACTAATGTGGATGTAACAGGCAAATTAAACTTAACATACATCTCTTTCAATTAACCTACAAAGTCCTCAGTAAAGGATATTAGATTGAACAGCCTCTAACTTTAAGGTACATACTTGTAATTTCTACTGGCCATTATGATTTTATCCCAGCTTGATTTAGGATCAACCAGTTCAGGCTACTGAAGACATGTACTATATAGAAAGAGACAAGACAGGGAATGATTTTCAGTAAGTTTTGTATTGAGACAGAAAGTAATAATTGCCTGAAAACAAATGTATACTGAACTCACTGTCTTGAAGCTGGACTACATCACCCTTGTTCAAGGTGAGAATCCACCCGACAAAAACGTAAACAGGAGATTTCAATCTTGTGCTTTCACAGGAAATGTCATGAGTTATACTTTTGTATGTTTTTGTGCGGGGAGGAGTTGTGAAAACCTGGTTTATTGCCATCATATTTTTTTTCTCACTAAGAGTCTGTTATGTAGTACCCGTTACAAAACGCTGGCATTTCAGTAAGTTAATAGATCACAGCGAGCTGGTGTCTACCTGCATACTTCAAGGTAAGTGAAAGGAGAGAACACCTGTCTTCACCTGGATATGTTCATCAGGGACTATAAACAGGCCCGTAGCCAGCAATTTCAAAAGGGGGGTTCTTTTTTTGAAAAAGTGGACCTTCTCTCACGACATCTTTGTGTACCTAGATAAAATTTAACCCAGAGGAGACCTTTTCCCAGCAAAAAAGGGGTTCTTTCAACTCCCCCCTCCACCCGAACTCCCCCTGCATGGCTACAGGCCTGATAAAGAACAGTACTGTATTACTCTGGGCTTCAGGCTCTATGCCCTGTCTAGGATGGATGGATGGATATGAATCTTGGTACTGAGTAAGGTCAGTGACTCAGTTAATCAATGCTGTCTATTTCCACTAAATGTCTGCAGTTATCACAAAAGAAATTAACTTGGTAAGAAAGTTGGTCCTTTAACTTTAAAAAGATGGAAATGTTGGTATTATTATACCCATTGTTAGTAAAAGTTAACTTACTCAATAAGGTCTTGTTCCCTTGTCAAAATTTAAAAGATGGCTCTGTTTCAAAGATAGTTGCTTCATTTTTGTTGACTTTTAGAGATTTTCCCAGATCAATAATTACTAGAAGTCTCATTTTTAAAACATTATTTCCAATCAAAATGATTAAAGTGTTTCTTGAGAAATACTGAGTATAAATGGCCGATGTTTAAGTATAGGTAATGAGGAAGTTCACTGCCAGTGTTTCCAGGGACACAAGTACCTACCTAACAGGAATATATTGAGCATGCTACAATTAAATCACCTATGCAAGGGAAGTAGTGCCTTCTTTCCTGGGATGTCAACAAGGATGTAATATTATTCCTCTGATTCTTACATAGAGAGAACATACAAATCAGACTAGGAGGAAAATATGTTAGCAGAGGCCCTTTGCCCCCTGGGGAGAGGAATATTAAAGGACTTCACCTGGTTGCTAGAGTTACTTGTGATATTTCACACCTAGGTTCATGACATTGACATTATATTGGGCATGCAAAGTAATTTAAAGTATAAAAAAGTTAAATAAAAAAAAAGAAAATTTAAGTTTCATTAGATCTGTGAAGTCAGTGATGTACGCGCAGTGTAACATCACTGAGTAGGAATAAGTCAGTGGCAGCTGTAGTTTGTGAAAAAGTCTATAGATGCCAACTAGATAAAACTGTTAACAGGATACTAAAAATTTAAGGACCTTAACAATGAATGTTTTGTAGTGTAAAAGTATTTGCATATGTGCTGCTGAGATATGTCATAAATTGCATTTATATCGAGTGTTTACCATCTAAGTCATAATTTGAGAACAACATGATGAAAATTTAACCAGAAAACAGAGGGAAACAAATGCTTTTAGTGTCAGGCATTCAATCAATAGGTTCAAGGTTGTTTTGCGTGTTTACTCCATAATACTGTACATTAATATAAACTGCAGTGTGAAACCGCCATCTGTTGTCGTTTTTAAACAGTATCGTGTTTAGTATTTGTTAAAATGGTTCCTCACTCTAAGTCACCATGTTGTCTATATACAAATAAACCCCAGTATATTTGTTGATTCAAAAGTTGAGAAGTGTCCTTGGAATCACCACGTGATGAATTTATTATTGGAAATATGATTGATGGCTATCGACCTGCTTCCATGATTATTGAGGTACGTCTGTGTATAGATTATATGTACTCCTATTACTCAGCAACAGCTGATTCTCAATACTATTAAAATGAAGCTGACTTAGTAACCTGTCATAATTTTCAGAAATGCAACAAATGAAAGAATAAATTAGGACGTAAGATTTGCTTATTTGCATAGGTAGAATAAGTGGTTGACATCAGCTGATAGAGAGAGAGAGAGAGAGAGAATAAGAACTTGATATTTTATTTTGAAAATGGTCCAACCATATCTTAATATGATTGTTCCTGGGGCTTTTTGATCTTTTAAGGATATATGGTGACATATCTATGCATTCATATTTAGTTATCGAAAAAATAATAGAAACTTTATAAAACCATGTAGTTTTTTGTCAGTAGTGATTCTTTGCTTAAAGTAATAACTAATAAGCTTAAAAGAAGGGAAAGGAATGGGAAAAGTAAGTTCATCAACTAAAAAATTATCCTATGCATTTCATCGTTGATATGGGTTTAAGGGTTCTAAGAGTGCATTCCCAGAGATTTAGATGGATCCATCCAGATCGACCTAACTCCCTGGGGGTTCACGCTAAATTGCTGTCAGCCGAGCGTGCACGGTAGTTAATTACCCCCTTACAGCTTTTAGTAGGCGGGACAGACGCTTAAGCCAGCTAAGCTGACAATAATCAAGTGAGACTCTCCACATGCAGGGATAGATCAATCTAAATTCTGTGGGAATGGGGTCTAAATGTATGAGATGGAAGTACCACTGGCTCCCCGTGGTCTGTAAACACCTATAACCTACTTTCAGATAATTTCTTCCAGGAGACTCTAAAGTGGTCAAAATACCTGGTCATGAAGCTGCATTCAGACATTATGGTAATGGCTCGATCATTTCAACCAGGAAAATTTATTAGTGTTAAAGGTTCATAATTTTGGAATCATTCAAATTACATTTCTGTGTAACATCTTGGTGCTTTTACTGTATAGTATAGAATTATTAGGGAGTCTGCTTTTCAATTGTGTTGCTACCACCCAATAGGAATGTTTAAATTTTAAGACTTTATTACTTCGTGTTTAAATATTCCCGGTTGAAATATAAGCCATTACCGTATAGACCTAATAGCAATGAAATAAAGAACAGCTTGGGCTGAGGAACAGTCCATGTTCAGACTGAGCTAAATTTAAAACCAAACATTCTCTGGCTGGTGATGTGAATAGAGTCTTGTTAGCCAGAGGCTAATAATTATTCAGTTTTAGTAAGTGTAGAAAATTTGGTTTTGGTGATCTTCATTGATTTGGCTTTTAACCTTGATTGCATTAAAAAGAAATTTGTTTTGGTATCAGCATACTGTCTGTATTGGTTTCAATATCCTATTAATAGGTGCCAAAAAAACTTCTTTTTGAGGTTTTGGTAAATTCTGGTTAAAAGTTTATAAAAAAAGAAAATAAAAAAGATGCCTGTCAGCAGATTTTTTTTTT